CTCTGCTTACCCCGGCACAGCCGCTTGGCTGGAACCACCTCGGGGATATGCTGCCAGCGGGAAGACCCGGGTCCCCTCCGGCCCCGCCATGGGGGACGGGCGGCTCTCCCAGCCCAGGGGCTCAGGGAAAGGGTCTCATGCGCTCCCCCAGCTCGCTTTGCCCCGTGGCTTTGCTGCGGATCACCCGCTGCATTGCCGGTCGGTGCGGGTGCTCAGGTCCCCTTCAGTCCCCGGGGAGTGCAGGGTTGCTCCAGCCCGCGGGACAGCCACCGGCGTGGAGTGACATTGCCCCAAGGAGGAGGAGGAGGAGGAGGGGGGGGGCAGCCGTGCCGGCGGTGGCTCCTGTGCGGGGGTGACCGTCTGTTGGGCCCCGATATCGCTGCCTGTCAGGCTGCCTTCCGCCCAGGCTGGGAGCCGCAGAGGCAGCCTGCCCGGAGCTGCCGGAGCCGTGTGATCTTTAATCTGGCTTAACCCTATCTCCTGTATCGGCGCTGGCTTTCAAACCTCAAACACCGAGGACTAATCCGAGTCCCGCGCTGAGGCCGTATCTCAGCACATGACATTGTCACTCCTCCGCAGAGCTGGTGTGCCGTGTCCCCCCCGCCTCCATCCTCGCTGGGGTCTTCCCGCTCCCCCCTGGCCTCCGTTTGCCCCCCAGCACCCCAGGAGTGGGGATGCTCAGATCCCGGCTGTGCTTCCCACAGGCTGATAGTGCTCTGGGTGGGGGGGACGGGCCTGATCCTGCCCTTGTGTGTGTCAGCGCAGCACCTTCTGCATCAGGGTTAGGTGGGAAAGGCCCTGGGAGACAGGAATTTGGCTGCCCACCCTGCTCCTGCCTGCGCAGGCAGCCCTGGAGAGAAGGTTGAGCCTTCCTCCGGGCAGGCAGAGGCACCCCGGGGTCGCTGCCTGCAGCCCTGCCCAGGGGTCCCCTCCCAGCTCCGGCACCGGCCGGACCGACCCCCGCCCGGCCGTGCGCGCCCCCCCCCCCTCCCCCCCGCCAGCCGGTTGGTGCCCCGGCTCTGCCATGCCCAGCACCGTGCCGGCTCTGCCCTCTCCAACCGAGAGGTTCCTCGCCGGTTCCATTTGCTGGCTTCCTGATGTCGAGATGCGGCTCATTAGCCATCCCGAGGGCCACGTTCCTCCCTGTTTACCCAGCATCGGCGCTGGTTCCAGCCTTAATTGGCGGAGGGGGAGCAGCCGCAGGGATGGGACGGGCCGAGCCAGCGCGCCGTTTCCCCACGGAGGAGCCGCTGCCATTTACCACCGCCGCTTTCCGAAGCCATTAACTTTGCTTTTGCTCTTTATTCTGTTTACCCTCCCACCTGCCTCCCCGGCGCCGCGGCGTAAATGCGGTTACGGGCCCCGGGGAGGCTGTGCCGCCGGAGCCGGGGCAAAGAGCCTCGGCCGTGGCACTGCCATCTCCCCCTCCGGGGAAGGATGCTGGGACCTCGCTCCCTTCGCGCTGTCCCTCGTCCCCAGCCCCTCTGGGCACCTTCTCCCCCCTCAGCAGGACCTCAGCATCCTCCCCGCCTGGACCGGCGGAGGAGAGGGGTGGCGGTGGTACCCACATGTGCCGGGATCACCAGAGCTGGCACCTTTCTCCCCGCAGCCCTCTGCGCCCATCCTGGACATCGTCTCCTGTGCAGGGGCCAGCGGGCAGAGCCGGGGTCCCCTCGCCGTCGGGGGACAGCGGGGTGCCGCCACTCCTTCCGGTTCCCTGCCTGATGCTGTGTTCTCCTCTCTCTCTCTCTCTCTCTCCCGCTGCCTGCGGGGCCGCCTGGGCAGGGAAGGCCGGATGGTGGTGTTATCCCTGGTTTTGGGACTCTCAGAGCAAGATGACTTTGCCAATATCCCCGACCTGCAACCCGCTGGGACGCAGCCGAACCAGCCGAACGCTCAGGGGGACAAGAGGTATGAGCCAGGACAAGGGCAGTCCCGCAGGAGGAGGAGACGAGGGCCTCACCCAGGGTGGAGGAGGAGGAGGAGGAGGAGGAGGCTGGCCTCATGGAGCGCGAGCGC